CTTGTGGCACCTTAGAGACTAACCAATTTATTTGAGCATGAGCTTTCGTGAGCTACAGCTCACGAAAGCTCATGCTCAAATAAATTGGTTAGTCTCTAAGGTGCCACAAGTACTCCTTTTCTTTTTGCATAGAGGGAAGGGTAACCACCTTTCTGTATACCGTGCTACAGTGGCTTCACACCGTCAAGGACAATAACAAAAAACTTCTTCAATGGAGTTTAGCTCTCCAAGATTTTGATTTTGAAATACAACACCTTTCAGGAACTTCTAACAAAGTGGCTGATACACCCTCCAGTGAAAGTTTCCCAGAATCAACTGATTAAAATCGTCCTTGAAATGTGGAAAATATTGTTAGTTTTTATATAGTCAGTAGTATATCTAAAGGTACATGTGTCTTATTAACTCTGTTTTCTCCTAGAGCTCCAGGAAGAAATCACAGCCAGTGTGGAACCAGCTGTCCGACACTATCTGTGATTTGGGGGGCATGTCATAAATATAAAGGGAAGGGTAACCACCTTTCTGTATACCATGCTATAAAATCCCTCCTGGCCAGAGGCAAAATCCTTTCACCTGTAAAGGGTTAAGAAGCTCAGGTAACCTGGTTGGCACCTGATCCAACATGACCAATGAGGGGACAAGGTACTTTCAAATCTGGACGAGGGGGGAAAAAGGCCTTGGTCTGTCTGTGTGATACCTTTGCCGGGAACAGATCAAGGATGCAAGCCCTCCAACTCCTGTAAAGTTAGTAAATAATCTAGTTAGAAAATGCGTTAGGTTTTCTTTGTTTTTTTGCTTGTGAAATTCGCTGTGCTGGAGGGAATGTGTATTCCTGTTTTTGTGTCTTTTTGTAATTTAAGGTTTTGCCTCGAGGGATTCTCTATGTTTTGAATCTGACTGCCTGTGAGATTATCTTCCATTCTAATCTTACATAGTGTTTCTTTTATCTTTGTTCTAATAAAGTTCTGTTTTTAAAGAATCTGATTGGGTTTTTAGCATCCTAAGGAACCCAAAGCTGGTCTGTGCTCAACTTGTTTATTCACAAGCCTCCCCAGGAAAGGGGGTGTAAGGGCTTGGGGGAATTGCTGGGGGAAGAGGAACTCCAAGTGTTCCTTTTCCCTGATTCTTTGTTAAATCACTTGGTGGTGGCAGCATTCCTAGCCCAAGGACAAATAGAGATTTGTGCCTTGGGTAAGTTTTTAACCTAAGCTGGTAGGGGGTCTTTCATGTGGGTCCCCACAACTGTACCCCAGAGTTCAGAGTGGGGAAGGAACCCTGACACCAAGCAAGTTCCACTTTTCCCTTCGGGTGCTTGTGACTAGAGCTATACAGTCATCCCCAGTGTCCTTAAAACTAGCAGTTTTATTAGGAAACAGCACAAAGCATTTGCAAAAATGGTTTTAAGATAGCAGGCAGCTGTCACATGTCTACACTGATCTATCACTACAAGCTAAATTAGACAGGCTTTGGTCTGGAGATACAAGAACAGAAGTGGCCCAACTTACATTCTTTTGGGACACCAAGGAGCTCTTGGGACCCAGACTAGTTTCCCTGTGTCTCTGAAAGCACCTTCCCATCTGTTTGCCCCTGTAGTGATGAAGTGTGGACTCCCTCCGAGAGTGACAAGGATGGATGGCAATACCCCTGCTGGTGGGCTGAACCAGGAGAGCCACGTCCACCCTGCCAGAAGCAGAAGGGTGGGACAGGAAGAAGTACAAAAGGTGGGCTCCACAGCTCAGTTAAGGGGGAGCCACCACAGGAGACAGATGCAGCCCGCCTCCTCTGAAGCCTGCAGAGGAGCTGCCAGGGCCCATGCTTGAGGACTGGCCAGAGTTCCCCAGGCTGCTGGCTGACACTGAGGAGCTTTTGGGGCTGCCTCCTGTGGACTGGCCAGCATTCCCCGAGATGATGGGCATGGATACACCTGAGAGGGAGAGAGGAAGCAGCCCAAGGAAACTGGGCAACCAGCTGGTTGAGAAATGGACTGATACAAGATCAGTGTGTTGTGGCTGGATCCTTGCTGACCCGGTGGCTGGGATACGGTTGAGTTGGGCAGGCCCCCGTCTCCCCTGCCACCCCACCCTGGGGCTGGGAGTACACCCCCTCCTTTGGCCAGAAGGCCTGTGCTTCTCAGGCCTCCTACCCGCATTCTCGAGCCTCTACACTTTATTGGTGCTCACCCTTACCTGGCCTGCTAGACTGCTTTTCCTCTGCCTTCACTATGGCTTTGCTGCCCTGTGCTTACTGGGCCTGGGGCTCATAGACTGCTTAGCCGCTCTGCCCTGATTGCAAGAGGGAGCCTACTCATTGGCTACTGTCCCACTCTGGCTGAGGACCCGGGGCTCAAGGACTACTAAATTGCTCTGTCCTGCTTGCAGGTCAGACCCTACCAATTGTTGGTTGCCGTACTGTTCTGCCCGGCCGTAGGACTGGAACACAAAGTGTAGCTAATTACCCGCTTTGAGCGCATCTTTGGAGGTACGTGACAGCAAGAAGGTGTGGCCTACAGCCCCTTTCTTGTGGAAGCAGCCTTTTCTCAAAGCCTCCCTGTGTGAGCCTGGGTCCAGTCACCACTGCGCTCAGCCATGTCCGTGTTACAGGGCCAAAGTGTGGAGCAGACCTTTGCCCTGAGACTCCTTTCTCCCAGCCAGACCATCTTAAATGAGGCCCCCATGGCCTTTGCTTCGTTGTTTGGCAGTTAGACCCATTAAGCCTCAATGGCTGGCAAACACTGGTCGGGTGACTGTGTTGAAATGCTCATCATCCCTGTGACACTCCCCTCAGAAATCCACTACCTACCCCTCACTGCTACCTCTGAGCAACCCCACATCTGCCACAGACAACACAATGCTGGAGTCAGGGAGCTTCCCAGAGGCCAGCTGTCACAGGAGGCTGTGGTAAGAGGCCTTTCACAGACAAATGTCAGGGGTGATGCTCTGTGGAACCCTGACACCGCCCTGATCTCAGGGTCTCAGAGTATCTGAGCACCTGGAATGTATTTATCCTTCTGCCAGCACTGTGAGGCAGCGTAGGGCTATTATCAGAGACAGCCAATGACTTGCCCACAATCACACTAGGCAAGGGAATCAAACCCAGCTGTCTTGAGTCACAGAGCCATGCCCAGATCACAGGACCAGCCTTCCAGCCATCTGAGTGGTGACAGGCCCGGCTGGATTCTCTGCTGCGCCAGCAGAGCTCCCCCCGGCACTGCAGAAAGTGGGGATGGCCAGGAACCAGTTGATTCCTTGGCCTTTTCTCCCACTGCCTCAGCGGAGTTTAGAGCAGCCTAGGGGTTGGGCTGACCTCTGCCTGGTGGTAACGGCTTTCAAGAGCACAGCACACACTGGCCAAGTCCCTTCTATGGTCCTTGCAATGACTTACTCTCAGCCTGGGATATTTAAAACAAGAGCCCGCTTTGTGGGGTAGCATTAATTCAGTTTTCTCCAAAACACAAGGTCTCCTACCCTCCAACTTCTCCCTCCTCCTTTACTCAGGAGCCCCCGCTTGCTGGGGTCAGTGTTGGTTCAGTCTTGCCACACCCTCTGCTCCTCCTTTTCTCCCTGAAGCCCCGCTTCCTGCCCCATCTTCCCCTGAGGTCCCATCTCTGCCCCATCTCTTCCCACTATGCCCTGCCCCCCACTCCTCCACTTCCCTTGATGCTCTGCCCCCTGCCAGGTCGGAGCCGGGCTACAGTAAGAGCTACCCCAGGATCCCAGGCCACTGTGGAGAGACCCAGACTCTCCTCCTTCCCTGGGTTGTACATCCTGGGGGGTGGGGACACAGGCTGGGGGCTTCTCTTGAGCCCGCCAGCCTCCTGTCCAGAGGAGGGTGGAGGGTCTGGAAATCCTCTCAGTGGCTCTGGCTACCTGGGCAGCTCTTACCATGGCCTGGCTCTGGCTTCCGCACTGGAGAGGCGGCAGAGCTTCAGGGGAAAAGGAGGAGCAGGGGTGGGGTCTCGGGGGAAGAGGCGGGCAGAGGGAGGTGCCTCAGGGGAAGAAGATTAGTCGGATGTAGGGTGTCAAGGTGGAAGAAGAGGGGCAGGGGCGGGGACTCAAAGGGGACGGGTCTCCTGCATGGGTCCTGCTTTTGCCTTTTGAAGAGGTGGTCACCCTACACTGAATTGGCTGGGCTGGGATAGGAGCCAGCTGTGCCTCTGTGGGGGAGCTGAGGCCTGTTTCCACCCCTTTGCAAGCAGCTGGGGCAGCACAAACGGAGGGGCCAGAGAGGGAACCTGGGCCTGAGTCTCTTGCCAGGACTCCTGTGTGTCAGACCCTCACTCGCACACGCAGCTCTGCCCTACCTGAGGGGCATGACAGTTGGAGAGGGGTGGGCTCAGCAGATGTGCTGTGTGCAGAGCCATCAACGGGGGGACGGGTTGCCTGAAGGGCTTCTCCTGGGGCTCCTGCGTTAATCATGTCCCTGAGACGACTCAGTCTCAAGCACCTGGGTGAGGGCATGGGGGAAGGGTGCGGGACTGTGTCCTTTGAATAGCCCCTGTCCACAGCTGGTGCAGCCCCCAAGGATCACGCAGCTCCCAGAGCGCTCAGGAAGAGGAAGCACTGTGACAGCAGAACAGCCCTGCAGCTTTTTTAATGGCCCCTGGTTGATTAACCAGATACGGGACAGTGACAGGCCAGGTGTAATTGGAAACAACATCCACGTCCCTTGTTTTTATTGACTGTAATGTTGGGAATTCTGAGGTCGGAAGAGCCACCAATACAGCTCTTTATGGGCCAACATCCCACCGGTCCCCTGGCTCTCCATGAACACAGTCGCTCTGTAAATGTTGCTGGCTGCCTTGGTCTCCTTCCCCAGAACACTGTCTTCCCTCACCAGCCCCTCTCCCTTTGCTCCAGGCCTTAGAACCCATCTGAAACTTTCTCTACAGTATGGAGGTCAGAAGCTCATGTCGTCTCAGATATAAGCGTCCAGGACACACTAGGTGGCCCGTGTTTTTCGTCTCCCATGTAATCAGCACTGGAGGAGGGTGATGAACTGACCCTTCACTTGACGAACACCCTGATTCTCCTGGCACGAAGATGTTTGCTTTTCACGCTGTACACAATTGGATTAATCAGGGGCGGGACAAGCAGGGAGACGTAGCCCAGGAGAATCTGAAGCAAGTGAGAAGAGCTATTCCCAAATCTGTGTATCACAGCAAGGCCAATCTCTGGTGTGTAGAAGAGCAGGACGGCACAGAGGAGGGAGATGCAGGTGTTCAGGGCTCTGAGGCACTCCCTGTGGGATGTGATGCTCAGCACTGTTTTGAGGATCATCACATACGAGAGAAAGATGAGCAGTGAATCCAGCCCCACCGTGAAGAATGTAAGAAACAACCCATAGATGTAGTTGACTCTGATGTCTGAACCCACCCTCTTCATAACATCTTGGTGCAGGCAGTAGGAATGGGAGAGGACATTGGCTCGACAGTATTGGAATTGTTTCAGGAGAAAGGGGTGTGGGAGTATTACAGCCATCCCTCTTAGTACAAGCACCAGTCCCATCTTGGCTATTCTTGGCAGGGTTAAGATGGAGGTATATCTCAGTGGGTTACGGATCGCGATGAAGCGGTCAAAGGCCATCAACAGGAGCATGGAGGATTCAATTTTTGAAAGCGAGTGGATGAAGAACAGCTGGGTGAAACAAGCATCGAGGCTGATCTCCCTAGAGTTAAACAAGAATGTGCCCAGTGTTGTCAGCATGGTGGCTATGGATAAGCCAAGGTCCGTGATGGACAACATAGAAAGGAAAATGTACATGGGCTCATGGAGGCTTGGATCTGTTTTTATAATGAACAGAATGACTGAATTTCCTACTACTGAAATAATATACATTAAAAAGAAGGGGATAGAGATCCAGAGATGGACGTCTTTCAGCCCAGGTATGCCAGTGAGAAGGAACACTATAGAGTTGGATTTGGTGTCATTGACAGCTGACATAATGTACTGGGCAGGTCCGAGGAGTTCTGAACTTTCCTTCCTGAAAGGAGAAAGAATAAGAGACTAGATGATATTTAACGAGACATCTTTCTGCTCTCAGTGGATATTTAAAGACAGCAAAGAGCTCAAGGAAGATCAGCAAAAACATAGTCTTCGATTTACACCACTGATAGGAACATAGGCATTCCCAGACTGGATCAGACCTGTAGTCCATCTAGCCCGGTATCCAGTGGCCAGTTCTAGATGATTCAGAGGAAGGTGGAAGAAGCCCTGCAATGGGCCGCTATGAGATAACCTGCTCTCATTGAAAATTACCCCTGACACCCACTAGTTAGATATATTTTGTGGTGTAAATCAGGAAGAGTTTATTGGAATTCTAAGACTTTTAAAAAAAAAATCTTCACCAGTATAATTGGATTTTTTGGTTACCCATATAAACATCCCATCCCACTTTGAATCCTGCAAAGCTCTTGGCCCCATTGATATCTGGTGGTTTGGAGTTCCGCAGCCTACTTGAGCACTTTGTGATTTTACAATTGTGACCTTCCTACAGACACTCTTTCTGGCCCTCCACTTCTGAATGTGGCCCATTGTAGCATGACATGTGTGTAAACACATGGTAAGTGCATGGTGAAAACCGTCAATGTATTTCTCTGTCCTGCATTGAAAGTGTTTATAAATGTGTTTCGTAGCATCATTATATGTATTTTTTTTTTATTTTCTCTAGTCCTGAGAGTTCAATTTTTTCCACTGCTTCTTTGTAGCACATGGGAGAAATTCTTAGGGCCAGGTGCTTAATTCAATAACATTGATTTTAACTGCATCACGCCAGATTTACATGTGTAAATTCAATATATGTGCTGATCCCCAAGCATCCCTCCAAGAGAAGCTGAAGTGCTTTCCCTGGCCAGTGTTGACTGAATCTAGAGAGTTCAACATCCTACAGACTTCTCTTCATCCTCACAGGATCTGCATCTTCTCCCCATAAAAGTGTCTGTAGAGATCTGGCAGGTTACAAGTTAACACAGACAGTTACTTCAGCTGGGCGGGTGACAGGTTGGCGTCACAAATGCATGCATAGTGCAAACACTAGGTCTGCACTAATATCCAGTTGAGTGTGTAAGTTACTTTAGCTAAGCTCGTATAACATGTGATAGGAGTTAATGCCGTACAACCACTATTACACTCCCCTTTCCACCACCTCAGCTCTACTCTTTGCTGAAACACAGGCCAGCAGTCCTGGTCTCTCCTGACATGTTGGAAAGACTTGCACAGGTATTGCAGAGTTATTGAGTGCACGACCCTGAATGTAAGTGTTAGAAACAGCTTCTGGTCGATTACCAGGAAATAATATTATACAGCTCTTCACTGAACAAAGTGTTAATAGCACAAACCCTTTGCAAACAGTATTTGGAGTACTTCTGAAATACTTTCTACAGTAAAAGCCATTAAGCAGTAAACAGGTTTCAGAGTAGCAGGAATGTTAGTCTGTATCCACAAAAAGAACAGGAGGACTTGTGGCACCTTAGAGACAAACACATTTATTTGAGCATAAGCTTTCCTGAGCTACAGCTCACTTCATCGGATGAATTCAGTGGAAAATACAGTAGGGGGAATTTATATACACAGAGAACATGAAACAATGGGTGTTACCATACACACTGTAAGGAGAGTGATCAGGTAAGGTGAGCTATTACCAGCAGGAGTGGTAGGTTTCTTACTGGAAACCTACTGACCACTATACTTACCTACATGCCTCCAGCTTTCATCCAGACCACACCACATGATCCATTGTCTACAGCCAAGCTCTACGAAACAACTGCATTTGCTCCAACCCCTCAGACAGAGACAAACACCGACAAGATCTCTATCAAGCGTTCTTACAACTACAGTACCCACCTGCTGAAGTGAAGAAACAGATTGACAGGGCCAGAAGAGTACCCAGAAGTTACCTACTACAGGACAGGCCCAACAAAGAAAATAACAGAACGCCACTAGCCATCACCTTCAGCCCCCAACTAAAACCTCTCCAACATATCATCAAGGATCTACAACCTATCCTGAAGGACGACCCATCACTCTCACAGATCTTGGGAGACAGGCCAGTCCTTGCTTACAGACAGCTCCCCAACCTGAAGCAAATACTCACCAGCAATCACACACCACACAACAGAACCACTAACCCAGGAACCTATCCTTGCAACAAAGCCTGTTGCCAATGGTGCCCACATATCCATTCAGGGGACACCATCACAGGGCCTAATCACATCAGCCACAATATCAGAGGCTCATTCATCTGCACATCCACCAATGTGACATGTGCCATCATGTGCCAGCAATGCCCCTCTGCCATGTAAATTGGCCAAACCGGACAGTCTCTACGTAAAAGAATAAATGGACACAAATCAGATGTCAAGACTTATAACATTTAAAAAAACAGTCGGAGAACACTTCAATCTTTCTGGTCACTTGATTACAGACCTAAAAGTGGCAATATTGCAACAACAAAAATCTTCAAAAACAGACTCCAACGAGAGAATGCTGAATTGGAATTAATTTGCAAACTGGATACAATTCACTTAGGCTTGAATAAAGACTGGGAGTGGATGTGTCACTACACAAAGTAAAACTATTTCCCCATGGCCCCCCACCCCCACTATTCCTCACATGTTCTTGTCAACTGCTGGAAATGGCCCACCTTGATTATCACTACAAAAGGTTTTTTTTTCTCTCCTGCTGGTAATAGCTCACCTTACCTGATCACTCTGGTTACAGTGTGTATGGTAACACCCATTGTTTCATGTTCTCTGTGTATATAAATTCCCCCTACTGTATTTTCCACTGAATTCATCCGATGAAGTGAGCTGTAGCTCAGGAAAGCTTATGCTCAAATAAATGTGTTAGTCTCTAAGGTGCCACAAGTCCTCCTGTTCTTCTTGAGCAGTAAAGTTCCAATGCTCCTTCCCATAGAGAGATTCCAACAACTCTTCTGCTGGCTTTCAATATACATACATGTCATGAAAGTTTGCTTTGTATTATTTGTATTACAATGTTTTGGCATAACATTCACACAACTGTACTTTAGTACACACATGTCAACTCATTCTTTCCCCTCTGATCTGCTTTCAGAGATGAGTTCTCAGGTTAGAGTGGGACTTAAAATGTAGCATCTGTCTTCTGGATTTCTTCACAACCTGAAAAGATCGCAGCATCTCACCCCTCATTCAGTCCCTTGTCAGCAAACAGAAGTCTAGTAGCTCCCCTGTCCCTGGGTTAATAGCTGACTGGTTCTCCTCAGGTTCTGTTCTGTCAGTCTGTAGTCTGTCTCCGGAGTGGTAACAGGCACTGGGATCAGTGTAGAAAATATTAATTCCCTGAGCTCTCACTCTCTAGTACGTAGTAACCCCAGCACTGGTTATTCAGGCACGATGGGGGTTTGCAGGAAGTGGATTTCAAAGTCAGATGCATGAGTATTCATGGAAATGAAACTGCATTTCATACATGAAAAGAATCTCTCTCTCTCTCTCTCTCTCTCTCTTCTCCTACCCTCTCTGCCCCCCCTCCACCCTGAATTCATAAAATAAGTAGCACCTGGGAATGGCATTGGGACAGACATGAAGCTGAGCTGCCATAAAGAATGTGTATGTTAAGTCCAGTTCTTGGGATGTTTGCTGTGTAGCTATATTGGGTTAACTATTCGGATATTTTTGTTATGGCTATATTAGGTGAAACCAGTTTGGATCTTCTTAGTTTAATAGCAGGCTGCGAAAAATAAGCAGAAAGGGAAGCAACAGCTCAAGAAAAGCCATCACTCAGTCAGCACTTCAGGGAGAACGAGAGACAACACCAGAGCTGCAAGCTGTGAGGAGCATATTCCCAGCACTGGGAATCTGTCCACAGCTGGAGCATCTGTTGCTGAGAAACAATTCAGAGCTGACAGGCACAGAGAGCGCTGGGGAAATCTGAAGGTCCTGGGCCTGCCTGCATCCCCGTCAGAGCGGGAGGGTTTGGGGTTACAGATGTTGTCATAAATATAAAGGGAAGGGTAAACCCCTTTGAAATCCCTCCTGGCCAGGGGAAAGCTCCTCTCACCTGTAAAGGGTTAAGAAGCTAAAGGTAACCTCGCTGGCACCTGACCAAAATGACCAATGAGGAGACAAGATACTTTCAAAAGCTGGGAGGAGGGAGACAAACAAAGGGTTTGTGTCTGTCTGTGTGCTGCTCTTTGCCAGGGACAGACCAGGAATGGAGTCTTAGAACTTTTAGTAAGTAATCTAGCTAGGTATGTGTTAGATTATGATTTCTTTAAATGGCTGAGAAAAGCATTGTGCTGAATAGAATAACTATTTCTGTCTGTGTATCCTTTTTGTAACTTAAGCTTTTGCCTAGAGGGGTTCTCTATGTTTTTGAATCTAATTACCCTGTAAGATATCTACCATCCTGATTTCACAGGGGGGATTTCTTTATTTCTATTTACTTCTATTTTTTATTAAAAGTCTTCTTGTAAAAACTGAATGCTTTTTCATTGTTCTCAGATCCAAGGGTTTGGGTCTGTGGTCACCTATGCAAATTGGTGAGGCTTTTTATCCAACATTTCCCAGGAAAGGGGGGTGCAAGTGTTGGGAGGATTGTTCATTGTTCTTAAGATCCAAGGGTCTGGGTCTGTAGTCACCTAGGCAAATTGGTGAGGCTTTTTACCAAACCTTGTCCAGGAAGTGGGGTGCAAGGTTTTGGGAAGTATTTTGGGGGGACAGACGCGTCCAAACAGCTCTTCCCCAGTAACCAGTAATTGTTTGGTGGTGGTAGCGGCCATTCCAAGGATAACGGGTGTAATATTTTGTACCTTGGGGAAGTTTTGACCTAAGCTGGTAAAGATAAGCTTAGGAGGTTTTTTCATGCAGGTCCCCACATCTGTACCCTAGAGTTCAGAGTGGGGGAGGAACCTTGACAGATGTGTACAGACTGTTGTTTGAAAACCCTCTTATTCTGCCACATTATGTTTTATTCTTACTGTTCAGATTAAACAGTGT